TTAGCTTCGGATCTGAGAGCACATTCCTGCATCACTTCGTTCTGCGAGTCCCTACGAGCTCGCAATCTCTTCCATTTCTTCAATTCCTTTCAGTCAAGACCACAACTATGAAGACTGCGTACTCACAATCCCCAGGGCAAGCGCGCCTTCATCAAAGACATGGCCCAATACTGGATACCACCCAATCGCAAACCCGCCACAGTCGCGCCGTCGCTCGCCAACTACCGCCGCGGCGTCGGAACCGACACCACGCAGCTCTCCCCCGTCCAGACTCGCAAGTCTTCAGAAGGTCCCCCATACCCCTACGACACCCAAGGCGAGCCCAACAACCCCGCAGTCATCCCCGCAGATCTCCTCGCAACATATCACTTCACCTTCCTCATCCGCCATCCTCGATATAGTATTCCTAGCTACTACCGCTGCACCATTCCACCGCTCGACAAAATGACGGGCTTCTACAACTTCCGCCCCGACGAAGCCGGGTACGACGAGTTGCGTCAACTATTCGACTACCTGCGCTCCGAAGGCCAGATCGGGCCCAAATTCGCCAACCAGGCTGCTCCCGAGACCAACGGGCACACTAACGGCACTACGAAACAAGGTGTTGAAATCTGCGTGGTTGATGCAGATGACTTGCTGGATCAGCCAGCCAAGATGATCGAGGCATTTTGCAAATCGACTGGGATTAAGTGGGAGCCGGAGATGCTTGTTTGGGATACGGAAGAGGATCAGGAGAGGGCGAAGGAGGCGTTTGAGAAGTGGAAGGGATTTCATGAGGATGCGTTGGATAGTACGGAGTTGAGGGCTAGGACGCATGTAAGTTGTCTCCTCGACTTTGAACCTGAAGATTGGGAGTATGATGCTAACACTGGAATAGAAGAAAGTGCCAAAGAGCGACGAGGAACTATTCAAAGAATGGACAGAGAAGTATGGCGAAGAAGGCGCGAAGATTATTCGTGATACGGTCGCAGCGAACGTCGAGACTTACGAATACCTGAAGCAATTTGCTATCAAGGTCTAGATCGAATCAGCGCGGATTGCAAGATCTATGAGTAGCTAAGGAAACCTCAATATCATGGTTATTTCTCTCCGAGACGTCTATGTTCCAAGATCTTTGCTTCTTGGAAGCAACGGATAGCATCATACACGACTGGCCTCTCAATACGACACTAGCCACGTCGTTTTCTCACATCAGCACAAGCCACACGTACACATGCACCTCGCTTAGCCAGGCCTGACCGCCTTGACTGCCAACTTACGGGCCGGACCGGTTCGGGAGCGCAAGGCAAGGCTGAGTCAGAAAGTGCATTTCCCTAGTCTGCACTTTTGACCAACTCTTCGCGAAGGACAGCAATATGATGGCTGCATAGCTGGTAGGATCGATTGTGAAGTAGCGGTGTTCGCACTGAGTCTGTTGTGGATGGGCGTGGTAATGAGTCTTGGGAGCTTGTGATTGGTGCATCGGGATTGTACAGTAGGGTAAGGAGTCAAGCACCACGATGGCCGCATGTGGCCATGGGAAAAGGAAGCAACATGAAGCAAGTGTTTTGTGTTGGGGCCACGGGTATGCGAGAGCGGAAGGAGCATGAAGCGTGGTTGCGAAAACATCGAGAAGCTGGAGTTGAAGTCCGAGGTACGCTATTGGCAAGTAAAACTGATGCGAGATCACTGAATCGAAGGCGTGAATTTGGAAGAGGTAGTTGGTCATGCGCGGAATACCGGTTCGAAGTTAGCTATTGATACAGCGCTAGTCAACTCACTGCTACTACGACGCCGAAGCTCAGGTATGTCCCGTCCAATTCACGTGCATCCAAATCATCCCACATGAGCCCATTATGCAGCCAGAAATGCAAAAGTATCCGCACAAACAACACCGGAAACACCGAGGCCGCAAACTCCAACGCTGCCAATGTGCGCCCAAAACAATGCAAGTCGAATTCGGACGAATGGCGAGTAGGTCAAGATCGATCAAGGATGGCCAAGCTCAATCTCTCGTCTCCGTTCCTCGCGACTCAAGCCTCTCGAGTGATTACTCCGCTGGTCACTGCTCGACGGTCGGTTCGTTGTCCGGCCTCGCTCCTGCCATCGCTCCCAGGCCTGCTGCTCGCTGAGGCTATTGGGTCTGCTGTCTGCTCGAGTGCGCCCCCAGTCTGCGTGTGCCTGGCCTGGTGTGCCTACCAACTCCTGGCTGCGGGCTACCCTCTCTTGCTGCTCAATGTCCTCCGGCAAGTCTATCCTGAATGTGGCGCTATTCGCGTCGGGACTCGGTCGCTGGTCTGACTTCATGAGAAGCAGGGCCATCTGCTGGTTGACGCGGTCGTCTTCTGATATTGCTGCTTCTGGTGGCACGGCTGGTGTACGAGAGGCTGTAGGGTACATGTTCTGCACAAAGTTGCTATAGTACGACTCATTGGACCATAGCTGACGCGGGCCCGCCTTCTCCTTGATCTTGACTATGCGACGGTGTGTCCATAACAGGAGGGCGCCGTATGTGAGTGTTGCGGTGGTGCTGACGATGGTACCGGTAATGGCGGAAGTGCCCCAGGTGTACGAGCGCGAGGAGCCAAAGTTGTAGGCTATTGAGATAAGTCCGAGGGCGGACGAGGTGAGGGCGGGTCTGTCGTGTGTTAGTGGTTGCCGTACGGTTGTGAGGCAGCACGTACAGAAAGACACCCTCTGCTTGGAAGAGCTCATTGTGACAGGCAAAGCACAGAAGTGCGGTGAAGGAGTAGCCGGCAGTGAGGAGAGCGACGACAAAGACTGAGAGAACTGCCTGGCTGAACCTGAGTTGTGGATCCTTTGCGTAGAGGCCAGGCAGTAGGAGGTAACTGCGTGGGTGTTAGCTTCTCTTTGTGAGGTCTGCAGGAAGGCACGACGCACCCTCCCAATATCATCCAAGACGCGGCAAGAGCGATGAGGCGCCAGTACCAGGGCGTCGTCTCCCGCTTCTCATAGCGCTCGTCGCCAATGTTGATGTAGCTCTTGTTGCCGTTGCGCATTGAGCTGTCGTTCGCGCCGTTTGCGGGGAGCTTCGCGATTCAGGTGCCTGGCGTTGACCACTTTAGCTCTCGCGCGGTGCCAGCGAGCCGTTCAAGTAACCCCTCATGCAGCGCAGAGCGTCCTGAAATTAAATGAGAGACTGGTGCAGCGTGTTGCGAAACTGGCAACTGCCTCTATCTTGGGAGCAGCAGATGAGGCTCTCTATTCCTGGCCGGTGGAATCAGCCTGACGCGTTGCAGATCGCATGCGTATGTTAGCGCCGAGGTAATTACGAGTACCGCAGGGCAGCAAGTGGACGTTAATAAGGCAAAAACAGGACGTGTTGGAATATGGATAGACCTCAGATATCAACTGCAGGTAGAAGAGACGGTAAGAAAGAGAACGAGCGGCCTTAGCTGAGCGTTCGAAGATGGGAGGGCGCCAATGTTCCTCGTATGTGTGCTGAGGCGGAGGACAGGCTGCATCCGACTCAGCCACGAGACGCTGAATGCCACCCTGCCTGCACTTTGCGACTGCTCAATAGTGGCCTCGAGCGCTTGCCTTGAGAAGACGATTCCTTGCGACGCGTTCGTGTTATCGCGGGTCGCTCTTTCTTGAGCTTCGTGTATATATCCCAACCAACATCAACATCAATCAATCTGCCGTCCCTCGTCCTCGGCGCTGTTCATCCCATCTCCATACGAACATAGAACGGCCATCCCAGATCTCGGTGCGACTGTCAGCTCGTTACCACCTCGCCAAGCCTTTCCCGAAGTGTCAGCCTGGCTGACCGCGCCGCATACTTCGCGTGCAGAATCTCACGCTCCATGCCACCGCTTCTTCGCAGTTCCGCCTCGTCATGTTTCGCTACAATTCTCCGCCCCGATCCCTGCCAAGTGCCCATGCACCCAGATTCACCACCTATACGTGTCGCTGAGACAAGTGACGTAGCTGCTCGTTGTCGAGGAGACCCAGCGATGGCCCAGCGATAAATTCAGTGCTGACCTTCAAAGATTTTGTTGCAATGCAACTGCAAGGACACTCGAGCTCATCGTTTCCGTATGTGCATTGGCGTCGCTTCCGATAGCTCGCACACGCCACACTTCAATGGTCTGCACCGCCTCAGGCACAAGGCACAGCCAAGCATGGCGATAGTCAGGACTCCAGCTTGCGACATCAGACAACTCGCCTGCCCTTTTTCCACTTTCTCTGCTCCATGTAACTTCCGGCCAATATATAAGTCATGTTGCATTCTCTGGCAGCAGTCGATGAATGCGAGCCCTGACCAAGGGCAGTCCGTTGCATGGTGTTCGAGGAAGTGAGCGAAGCCGTGGGCGACAACCACACGGCAGAAATCTGCATAGATTCACGGAGAATGACGCCGGACGTATGCAGAAAATCAACCGTGTATTGACACTTCCTGGAGCCTCAATGTACTTTCGTGAAACTCTCAAACAATCGTTCACGATCTCGCATGCTACCAAGCTCGCCTACCCCTGTCCCACGTCGCCACCATGCTCTTAATCATCGAAAACACTCCTTACTCACCCTTTTATTCTCGCACGTTCCATCACGCAAGCATCCTTCAGAGTCCGAATTGCCCCTTCAATGACCTCTCACGGCCGTATCTGGTAACCGTTCTGTAGAGGACTACTGCATCTGAGGTTTAATGTTTTCCGCTCCGGGCAAGAGCTGCAGAATTACCGCATTAGGCCGCCAGTACAACTCGTTACGCCGACGGCAGACTTCTGAGGCGAAAGGACAACGATTGTTGCATGTTGTAAATGGTGATCTGGCCAATCATGCGCGGCACCATGACTCCACTCAACCAACCACGAACGGACCTATACCCGAGACCCACCGCGCACTGTTATCGACCATACTCAATATTGGCATATGTGCAAACCTCTTCAGCACTATCGAAGACATCTCGTTGTCCTAGCCTCTTGACATGCTCGATATATACTAGCTAAATTTCGAGATTCTCATCAACATCACATCTGAGATTCGAGCTCACCTCTTCTTCAATAGTATAGTGGTCAGTATTCCGGCTTGTCAATATTGCATTGCGCCGGCGACCTGGGTTCAATTCCCAGTTGGAGAGATTATGCTCGCCTTTCGTTGAATTTTTTGCTTTTTGTGGGACTTTTTGGACTTGGTATACACGTTTGTGCCGCGGCCGCTGCCTATACCCACGACTTCACATTAAGAGACACCCATCTCTTTTTGGGCTCTCGATCAAATACTGTTACGGGAGTTTTAAGTTCCTACGAACTCGCAATGTGCTCGTGTCGCCATGTACCAGCGGCAAATGCGTGTACAGATGACACGGTAGAGCAGGTCTTTCGAATCCTACGGACTTCGAGTGACCATCACCGAGCTTGAACGCACCTTCACACCACTCACAACAATCGGAGACTAAAACTATTTAGTGTTCGAAGTCTTCAATCTTGGCTCGGTACTGATGTATTAAATGCAAGCACAGCCGTAGTGTACCAAAGTTCGGTAGAGACCTCGAACCAACATCGACATCAGGCATCACGATATCAATCCGCACTTATAAAAGCGTAACGTTCAAACTTCAAGGCTTGGCATATTCCAGAAGTGGGAAGTGTTTCATAGTGCAGTCGCGCCATACATCCGAGACTTTGAGCACTTGCCTTGAGACCTTTCGAATGCATCAAGCAGAACGCGCAACGAACGGTATCTTGTGGCGGAGATGGCCGCAGCCTCCAAGAATTGCGTACACGGACCGTTCCCAACATCGACAATATGCACCACGATATTGTCCCGTGCGGAGCAGGTGGGGACGCGGTTTCTTAAATACTCATATCATCCCGTGCGACCTGTGTCCTCTACTCAAATGCAATACTCGACCTCGGACAATTTCCAAGCTCGGAAACAAGCACGAAGACGGGGCATACGGATTCTCACTCTGTCCATCCTGCTTGCTCAGAGACGCAAGCCTCTCGTTGAAGAAGCATCTTTGAAGGCACTGTCTTGTGGCAGTCAAGGTAGGCTTCAGCCTGTGAGTCAAAGTCTTGCGACCTCTATTTACTAACATAAGTGAAGGGTTGGGTTATAGCATCAGGCCGTAGCTCGCTGATCAATCACGGTTTGCGCACCTGCACTTCTCAACTTCCCGAGCAAGGTCACTTCATCGCAACAACTTGGCACGGCCTATTGGCAACCGATCCAAAGTACTCGAGACCAAGAACCAGCACATGCACAAAGCAGAAATCCTTTCCTCCTCAAACACACCTTTCTGCAACACAACTCGCTGAACGACAGCACTGATAGCTGGCTTGCTACTATTGCCTCCTGTGCACCACTCGTTGTCATTCCTTCTCTATAACACCGCTACCTCCTCACCATCATGTCTACTGGGGTCGAAAGGTCTGCTTCTGCGTCGCAGCCAGCAAGTGCTGGGGACAGCACCGCTATGCAGCCCTCTATGCCCGCTCTGGCCTACAAGGTTACCACTCCTGCGCCAAGGCTAAACGTGGCTGAGGTCACCACCGAGAGGAAGTCACTTCGCGAGCTCGTTCGTGCTGCCCTCGGTCTTGAGAAGGCTGCACCTGAGCCACGAGTTCCGGTCGGCAGCAATACGTGTCGCCACTGCAGAGTGACTGGTGATCACTTCTCAGACGAGTGTATGGCACCATTGAGGTGTGACAACTGTCACGATACGGGCCATATATCGGCAAAGTGCGTGTCCGTGTGCCCGGCATGCAATGGCAATGGTCGCATTCGGATTTTGGATGGAGCTTACCCAGAGCCGACAATGAGGGCCTCTGAGGCACTAGCCAGTGCCCTCGAAACGACATTGCAGAAGTGAGCACTAAGAAATCTTCCTTACGACGAGTACTAAGATCTACCAGGTGGTCAGACCGTCTCGAAGCACGCGGGGAGACACTGGCGGAGGCCCTCAGTCTCAGTGACAAGAGGCGAGGTTCGACATCGCATGAAGTAACAGTCTCAACGCATAACGCTAACGCATGATCAGCAAAACTCGCTCAAGCCGCAAAGCGTGTAGAAAATGGTCTGCACAAAATGGCAATGGCCATCGCCATGTTGAGGCAAGCCATGGCCGATTTCAAGGCCGCGATTGACCTCCTCGATGAAGTGGGGGCCTCGCTACAATTTCATTCTGCACCGTCTGCTCCTAATGCGCCTGCTGTTTCTACTGACATCTCTGCTTCCTCCCCAGCGCCCGCTGAGTGAAGACATGTGCAGTCCATCATTCCCGCCATATTCTTATTCGAGAAGGCAAAAGCAATGCGCACGCGAGGCTGGTACTGGTTGAGCAAGTGACTGTCCCTCTCTTTCTGCCAACGGACTGAGGATCGCACGAATTCGACCCGGGAGTTTGAGATGCTCGCTGAGGCTGCGTTCAGCCCAGCTGACCGGACCATCACACAGGGCGCTTTCTGGGCGGTGAACTTGGCAATGACCCGTTCTCGTTCTTGTCAACTGAATTCGGTCCGCTGTCGATGAACGATGATCGCCGCAACACATCAAATCCTGCCGACATCGATCGAACACGTATCCTGCTACTTCAGCTCGCGGCATGTCGAGCATCGCAGTGTTGCCGCTTGCGTACCTGAGCGTGATAAGAACGACGTGTGTGCGGAGAAGGCTGGGCATAGCCAGCCTCTTTCCTGCACAGCAACGTGGGATCGTTAGTCTCGACCGCAACGATCAGCTACCTATCCAATTCCCACCACCAGCCTTCTAGACTCATGAGCTTTCGAACGATCGAACTCGAAGCTCTTGCAGCGTGGAGCGTCAACCCTCAAGATTGCTAGTCGCTTTCATCCTCAGCAGTGCGCACACAGAGTGTAGCATCAAAGAACACGTCATTTCATCACTCCTCTACCGAAGCTGCAATCAGCTCAGCCCGCACCACACCTAGCCAGGCGCTCCAGTGGTGATCGAGGTCGCAATAGCCTGCAAAAAGCAAGCCACTAAATGGAGCTGCCGACCGCCCATAAGAGCCGTCCATACAGGCAGTACAGCCCCCATATCTTGGGGTTTATACCAACCCTCCTCATTCTTGTCAACCGGATGCAGTTCGCTGTCGATGAACGATGATTGCCTCAGCACGTCGAAGCGAGTCAACAAGTCCTGCTACCAGCCTGCCGCATCCGGCAATAACTCTACCCCTCAGTATAGCACCCACAGTCCAGACCCTCATGAAGCCATGGCTCAGTATGGTACTCCCGACAGCAATGCGTATAGGAATTCCAGTAGTAAAAGCAGCGCTTACTCTCAGTCGGCGTACGGTCAAAGCCCTCAGATGTAGTGCATCGAGCATCAAACATGCAGGCATACAAACCAGCGTTGATCAGGACAGCGTCTATACAGTTAAACCCGATGACATCGGAATCGATCAATAGTGCATCCCAACCGTCCCCACCTCCGTTTGATTTACTACACGTCCTGATTCGAGGCCCGACAAGACAATTGCAGATACCTCAGTCATCAGTCAGACTATGCAATGGAATGCTGCTTTTCATTGCCCCGGTTTCAGAGTCAGTGATAGAGGATCGACGAATAATCTTGGAGCCGAACATATTTACGACCACGGCATTCAACACTGTCTAATTCTCGGCTCGGCAGAAGAGGCTGATCTCTATACAATCCTGGATGGGAACGCCAAAGTGTAGCGAAGTTTTATCAAAGATTTAATTCTCAAGAGACGCCCGCGCGACAAGTCTATCCGAAGTTCTCGCATTCCAGACTGACATGCACACAACCGCATTACGTCGTTGGACATCGTGCTGTAGCCTCAGGCTCCTTGTTTCAGCAACTTACCGTGGCAATGAGTTGAACTAGGACTTTCAGCAGCCCTCGAGCGCACCTATATAACCTCTTCAAGCTATACGTTGTACCGAACAGGTCTAGCATTTGTCTGAACGAACCGTCCGACCTGAAATGTAACGTAAGCTGACGAGGTGTCATCATCCAGAACGGAGTGCTGTTCCCTTAGCCAGGCAGACGTGCTGTCATTACTCCTGGGCTTACCTTCACGGCAGACTATCCAGCATACATCTGTCTGGGGCCAATCTCGAATCTTCGATACCAAGCAGCTCTTCGTGTAGGAGAGCACGGTCAAGGGTCAGTCAGCGCAGTCAAAAGTATCTTTAAGCTAATTTCTTTGAGCTTTCCAGGTACCTATACGTTATGTACACGCTAGTCTTGCCGGACCAGTTGATTGAACTTGTCTCGCAGTGTAGTACAGCAATACAACTCTTAATTCACGTCGCATATGATTCTCCGCTCTTAAGTCATTATGTATGTCAACCGTCACACCACTCTCAACCGGCAATATGCCGTGTATACCCACGCAATACAAATTTAATTTCATAGCCTTAACATGCCAGTCACTATCCTTGGAGCGGCACGTGAGGCTAACACAGAGAAAGCAACAGTTTGGCTTCAGATCGAGACCTCTATACTCAGTCGCATGGTTGGGTACACCTGCGACTCCGAGGTACGTGATTGCGATGGGTTGAAAATTCACCGAGCTTTCAGAACTCTGCAAGAGCTTAGGGTTAGGCTTACAAGAGCCCGGCCTGCGATCGACATCTTCCGCGAGATTGCTTGATCGGGAAGAAGGAAGTTGGCGTGTGACAAGTGAGCAGGTGAACGGGCTCTGCAAGACTGCGGAACAGCCAATCGAGCACTGCACGAGGACATCCAGGAAAACACATGGACCTGCTTGGGCACATATTCTTTTGAGCACCAATACATTCTCCATTACTTGCGAACCGCTCGTCCTACCACTCACGGTTCCCCACTCCTCGGCGCCCCACTCAACTTAAAGTACCCCGGCTGCAACGTCTCAAACACGCCCGTCGGATCATACTTCTTCGCCACGCTCTTCAACCTCGCCTGATTCGCTGCGCCATACCCAGCAACCACATCCTGCCACGGACTCGCGTAGTTCATGTACAAATAGTCCAGCGCCTTGCCCTTTGCCTCCGCCGCAGCGACAGCCCTATCCTTCACTCGCGCTGCGAACTGATTGATCCTCGCATCGTCCGCGCTGTTACTCCACTTCACCGCGACTAGGACGTTCATGATCGGTCCGTCGGCGGC